TTCCTTTGAAAGGGATTTATTTATTTTGGTTTTAAATAATTAAAAGAATTTAAAGAGTATTTTAAGGCAATTAATGTTTTAAATTTAACAAAAAAATTTCTTATCTGATTTAAATAATTTTCAATAATTATGTCATCTAAAAACATATATCAGTTTCTTATTTTTATAGAGCATGTATGGTGGCTTTAATAATAAACTGAATTTAAAGAGTATTTCAAAGCAATCAATGATTTTAAATTAATAAAAATATTTTCTAAATTATTTACATTCGAAGATATTACATTAAATCGAAGTACCTATATCAGTTAGTTATTTATAAAGGGCATTTAGCCTTTGCGAAAGCCAGCAATTTCGTTTATCCTAATTTTTTGTATGAAAAACTTTTCCAAATAATTCCAGTTATTCGCTCGGAATTCGCTCTCGACTGTACGACGCTCGCACTGAAATTACAATGCATTCGAAGTGCCTTGGGTGAAAGGAGGAGGAAAAGCTCAGGGGTTCAGAGCTCAAAGGGAGGGAGTGGAGTTGGGTTTCAGCTGGCAGTTGGAGGACTTGTCCCCTAAACTGGCGCACTTTGCATAAATTTCAACTTGAAGCATTGCACTTACTTGACACATTTCGTTTACCCACCGCCCACCTTTCACCTCATTCAACTTTGTTGTTGTTCATTCGGAAAAAGATGAAAAAAAGTTTTTGTCTTTTGCTCTCTGGCTCTGCAGCAGCAACAATTTACCGTTAAAAGCTCAACATTGTTACACTGGTTTTTCACTTTTCACTAAGTACCGGGTTTGTGTTACCTGTTAGCCATAAAAAAAAGAAGGTGCCAAAGCACAAGAGGAATATAGAGCCGCGGGCGGAATGAGATCCATCCAGCCAAGTGCGTTGAGTAATCTGCTCAAGTTTTGCCGGCGTCTTTTGTGCAACGTGCGAAGTTTGTCACTCCGTCAGTGAAATGGCAAAAGGGGACTGGATCTATCCACCCATCCACACCTCCACCCACCTGCACTTTCCGTAATCCACTTTCCTGTAGAGACATCAGCATACACCTGGCGAAGGATCTCTGGATGGACCGAAGGGCGGGGCAGTTGTCGTGTCAACACAAGTTTTGCATTTGGCGATGTGTTTTTCCTCGGTATGTCCCTCCCTTTATTTTTTTGTTTTTTTTTTGCGCCCTGCAAGTTGTTAAATGAGTTTTCATAGTTTTTCGTGGGTGGATATATAGAGCAGCACACACACCCTTTCGCTGTCTCTGTTTGCTGAAAATTAATATTTTCCCTTAGCCCATTTCACTCTTTATAAAGTTCACCATTGCCACTGGGGTGCATTTGCTTAGCATCAAAGTTTTCGCTTTATAGCGGATTTTTATTAAAACCCCAGGAAGTAAGAAGAAGTAAGGTTTTCTCGGAGGGAAAGTTTTCAAACATAATGGAAGTTATACTTACCAGAGGGACTCGCAATTTATTGGTAAGGAGAGCGAACAGTTTGGTAACATGTGTTAGAAATTGTTAGCACATGGGAGTGAAGATAAAGTTGAATTCAGTTTAATGAAACCAAGTTCATGTTTATGGCTTTTAATCAAAGTATCACAAAGAATATATAATGATAGCAAGACATTTATAACTGGGCAAAGAGAGCATTAACAAGAGAGAATGGTATAGTGGAGTACCTCGTGCGAGGGAGATGGAGATATGCAAACAGCAAAGCGACTGCTTGCACTGCTTGCATTTCATTGTAACATAATGAACATAACTTTTGATTGAATGGTCCGATTTAAAAATTTTCTTCTACATTTCGATAGGTATTAATAAATACAACTGAATGGCATTTACACTTGTGATCCTGATCAAGAATATATATAATATATAATACATACTTTCTCACGAATACAATATTCCTATATAACAGGTATAAAAATGCAATTAAGAAGAAGTTCATTTCATTAAACTAAGCATTGTTTTAGTTTGTCAGAGTTCAACCAATAAGCGGGTGATAAATCAACATATTCATAACCTTTAATCAAGCTAATAGCCACCATCAGATGAACAGAACATTGGCCATAATTAATCAGTGGAAATATAATAACCGTCATTAAACTAAACAAACACATTGTGCCATTCAGAGAGTTCCTCGTTCGCATAAATTTCAATACGCAAGGTACACAGCACTTAACCCATGATAGCCCCCTCCAAAAGCCACCCCCTCAGAATACATTTCCAATTAACTGGGGGAACAACTCCCCAACTTCCGTACCCAGTTTGGTAAATAATAATAGCCGGCCAAATGTTTAATGATATGAAATTAATGCGCAAATATCGGAGGCTTCAGTGCCATCAAAGCGAATAGTAAATGGGATACAATTTCCCGATGGTTGCGGACCATCGAGAATTTTCACAGCTGCGGTGGGGCCGCCAGGTGAAAATGTAAATGATATGCGATGTGATATCGGCCTCAAGCTGAGCGGAATAAATTGACTCTCTTCGACTATGCCAAGTTTTGCCACATTTGTATTTGTTCAAAAGTCAATTTAAGAACCGAAAAATTTTCATTTGCATGCCAGTCGCACAATCAAAAGAACTCGTCGAACCTCACAGCAAATTATGTTGTTGCCTGAGATTTTTATGGTCTTTGCCCATGCACACACACACTTAACGCCTATTTCCCACGAAAAAATCAACCATAAATACAATATTTCCCGCAACTTTTCGGGGGAAAACAACAACAGATTTGATTTTACTCAGTTTCGGTTTCGATGCGAGGCCGAAAATTTTTATTGTCCAGCAATATTGAGGCAGGAAAAGTGTAGGAAAAGCGACGGAATACGCATGAAATTTGATTTGCTTCATTGAATTGATTTCATTTCATTTGTTTTGATTTGTTCTGTATCCTCGCCCGCCTCCCCCGAAAAACGCAAGAACGCAAATTGGAAACCGGACCCCGGATAACAAAAACTGGCACCATCTGAATTGGTGAATTGGTGAATTCGAGCGCCGAAATGAATACATTTCGGTTGAGTTCGAGGCGTGTCTGGGGGGCAGGCATTTGGATTTGGCTTTAGCTTCAGATTTGTAGTGGTGGGCGGGATGAGGGGCTGGGAGGGGCGTGGCGGCATTGTGGTTTATGCTGATACTGTTGACTGACATTCGGGGTCTGGGCCTGACTTTTAGTAGTAGTTTATTTAGTTGTTGGAGCGATCAACACTTGCCAGATTGCTTTGGCATTAAAGTGTCAGCAAATATTCCGGATTCTGGATGGCTGCGGAGTGGAATGTTGGGCCTGGCGTTCAGGCATTTGGCATCTGGCTCTCAGAATGTCCGGAATGGGGAAAATGGTCCTGTTCCGGTGATGATTTGGCCACATGCGGCTTAATGCCCTCTAAAAGCCTTGACTCCGGTCTGCAGAGAGAGAAATGAAGCGGCCTAAGGTGAAATATTCAGCAAATTAGAGATAAATAAATAAAAAAAAAATTATTATTTACAATTACTTTAAAATAAAAAAAATTATTGGTTTGGGTAATAAGAAAAAAATCCAAATATAGATATACAAAAAATAAAAAGCTTTTGTAATTTATTATTTTTAATTTTAAGGAAGACTTTTGGGAAAGTTTCATCCCGATAGCATCAAAACTGATTAACTAGTTTACAGACAGACGGACGGACAGAGAGACAAATAGACGGTCAGACAGACAGGCATGTAAATTAATATTTTAAATTCTGAATTTGTTTAGGTATGCCTTTTTTTTCAGTGCCACAATAGGGTAAGTTCAACAAAATCCCTAGTCAAGCAAGACAAAACCTGCTTCTCAATTGAACCCTTTTTGTCCGCCTGTCGACGGCGGATGGCAAGAGGCTCTTAGAATGTAGCCAAACTATAAATTGGGTAGTTATTCGGGCTCAGTTTGCCATCTTAGAGATACATTTTATTGGGCCAGATCATAAATCGAACTGGCGATAGCTTCCTTCGATTGCTAGTTGATGCCAGATAACTCTTGTCTCGAGTACCAATCGCTTGTTTTCCCTTCGGGGAATTCGTGTCCAAATAGACGCCGCAAATAACCAAGAAAAACCCGCATCGTTACTTTAACCGCTCCCCGGTGAGCTTTTTACGGATCGAATCCTTTTGGCTTTCGGGGCAACTTTCACGATTTCCCAACTGATGACCCAATTAATACGCTGACAACCAACATTTATTTATTGCCATTTCATGTAAGCCAACTTTTCGAAGGCGTCGCAGAGCTGAAAAACTTTAAACTTAATGTCGTTGGCTCATCCTTTGTCAATTCCCCGATGAGAATGCCGAAACTAATCATTATTGAAAACGTGTGGTCCAAACTTTTGTAATGCGCCCCATTGTGTCACGCCCTTTTCCACTGTCACTCTCTCTCTAAAAAATAAAAGGGAGAGGAAACCGAAAAGGGAAACAGCAAAAAAAAACTGAAAAGTTATAACAAAATAGCTTTGGTCAAATTGTTTTACAAGCCAATTGGGTTTGGTGTCCTATTTTGGCACTGTCATGTTGCCTTTTTGGAGTCCTGCGGTTCCTAACGCTTCGATTGGCGCAGCAAAGTCCCGAAGGCGTTTGGCAGAGCAAGTTCTCCAGCGTTCCCTCGCTTTCCATTCGAAAAGAGGGTTATGCTTCTGATGAACTTTAAAATAAAGTGGTTGCCAGAGTGGAATTTAATGTATTTGAATTTGTGAGGGAAAAAGAATATTTTAGTGCAATTTTTCAGTAAAAATAGGTTTAATTCTTTTTTTAGTTTTTGATAAGTAATATACCTTTCAATCAGACGAATAAACAGACGTACGGACAGTCAGACGTACGGACAGTCAGACGGACGGACAGACGAACGGACATACGGACAATTTATAAATTTTTTCTGTCTTTGAAAACGATCAATCTATTATATATTTATTTGTTTTTCGATTTTAAAGAATTCTACAAAAATAAATTAAGTGTGTACAATATTTTTTAATAGGTTTGTTATTTATTTTATCAAAATAAAATGTATTGCAAAAGGCACTTCAATTGGAAAATATAGCTTTACCCTGCTCGTTGTATTCCCATTCTTGCGCCTGTCCCTTGACCGCTTGCCCCTCTTCTAAGTTCTGTCTTCGATGCTCCTGCTCCTGTTTGTGTTGCTGCAGCATTTGCTGCTGTTGTCCGGAAGCTCCTTCGATTTCCGTTTCCTCCCCGGAGGAGGATCTTCGATCCCGTACAGCTTTGTGCCGGGCCTCGGAGGCGGCACAGGCTGCTCTGTAGGCGGCCTTCTTCGTATTGGTGTAATCCAGTTTGGCGGAACGCAGCTGCTGCATTAGCATCTCCGCCCGCTGGCGAGCGGTATCCACCAGCTGCGTTTTTTCGCACAACTCCTGCTGGGCACCGGATGCAGCTGCCTCCGCGTTGCTCAGCGCATCCTCGGCGATTTTTACAGAGTTCCGCAGCGATTGCAATAGCGTTTGCGTCTGCTTCGCAGTGGCCACAGCGGCATTGAGATTTGTCTGAAAATGAGTTTTAAATTTTCAAATTAAAGGTTGGTCAAGCAATTATTAGGCATTTCAAAAATGTTGTAGTGGGGAAACCTGAGTAGTTGGAAAATGCGTGTTCTGGTTCACTTAGCATATTAATGGCTTATGGAATAAAATATGTCTTTTAAATTGTGATTTACATATTTAAACTATAAAGACAGTAGGGTTGCGGTTTTCATAGCTAGTGGGATTACCTCAGTAGTTGGGAAATGCGCGTTCTGGTACAAGTAGCATGTTAATGGCTAATGTAATCCAATATGTATTTTAAATTGTGGCTTAAGTATTTTGAACATCAAAACTTGTCTTGAAATTAATAATCAAATTTTAATATAGTTCAAGCAGTTTTACCTGTGATCCCACCAAGGAGTAGCTCTCCTCCTGGACGATAATCTCCGCCTCGTGCACTTCATCCTGCAGCTGCTCGAGAATCTGCTGTTTACCAGCCAGGGCTGCCTCCGCGGCCTTGGCAGCGGCAACCGCTTTTTCAGCTAACTGATGCTTCACCTGACGGGCGGCGGCCAGGGCAGCCGGAGCCTGGGTATCCGACGCCTTCTTGGCCTCCTGGGCCGCCTTCAGGGCAATATTCGAGGCCGTTTGCTTGGAGTTGGAGCCGTGCCTCAGGCCCATGGTCAGGTCCTCGGATCCTGTGTCCTGCGACCTGGAGCTGGAGATGCTGGGATGCTGCTGTTGCTGCTGGCAGTTCGAAGAACGTTGGTAGCTGGCTGAGAGGCTGGGCGAGATCAGGAGCAGGTGATAGAGAAGGAGGTGGACCAGCAGGATCGGTGGTGGCGATGCTATGCGCATAATTATGTGAGCCTTCAAAGTTGCTGCCAAGTTTGCCTTTTCAACTCCGGCTTGAACATTTTTACATTTCAAGTAGTTCCGCCCGGCCAACTGGGGAATAAAAAAATAAAATGTTTAACAAAGTTTTTTTGTTAGAAAAACTCTCGGCGTAGCAGGGCCGCATAACTTTTCCGCGCAATTTAACTTAACGTTCACGAGTTTCTCATTTTTATTTTCTTTTGTACTTTATTCACTTAGTTTTTTTCGCCCGCCCTGCCGTTGCTTTTCCTTGACATGGAAAAGTAGACTAACAATGCATGTGGCAACATTTTTTTTCGGCCTGTTGTTGAACAAGAATTAATTGGGTCGTCAAAGTCCTTCAGTCCCCGATAAGCTTTCAGCCTTATCAAAATGGCAGCTACAAAAAATAAAAAAAAGAGAGAGAAAATCAGGAAGGGAAAACAGAGAACTGGGAAAACCCAAGACGATTGCTTGGGTCATTTGTGCGTTGATCTGTTAATCCGAAAAGGGTTTTTGCCGGCTTGCCATGACGAAAGCCCCGGCTTTTCCCCCCATTTGATTGAGGACCCCAGAAAGCTTCGCCTCGCCATTAAGCGGGCAAGTTTGTTATAGCCCAAATACAAAAAAAGAAAAGGACCACTAGGCGTATGCGTAATAAAATCAACAACTTAAAATTTAAGCCCCCAAACAGGCACACACATATTTCTCTCTCAATTAGAGATAACAGATAACTTTAACAGTTTAAACTGTGTGTATATGTGGCCAGGACCACAGAGCAAATTTGACCAAAAGGGGGGGTTTTGGGGTGGGGTGTTCGAAAAAGTCGTCCCCTGGCGTAAAAGTCCGCATTTCGAGCAGGACACACACTCGTCCTTGTTCATGGACCTCGTCACTTGCATTCGCCTTTTTGCGTATTCAAGTGCCTGTGCGGAAGTGTTCCATACCCATTCCCCATCCCCTATCTCCATCCCCCATATCTTCACATACCATACCATTCCATTGCCGCCCAAAAATGACACTCTGAGTGCGGAACGTGGGTGGTAAACCGCATAAAAAGAGTATTCCAGAAGAAATCGATGTGCATGAGAATCCAGCCAGCCGAATGCCTGCTCTTTTTCATACACTGGGAAAAATTGTATTTAATTGAAAGTAAATAAATAAATAAAATTAATTTTATAACTTAAAAAAGTTATTGAAAAACTATTGTAATACCATTTATAGTTCCTTTATATTTTTTTTCTTATTTTTTTTTTTTAATTCTTATTTTAGTAAACTCATTTTTCCATTACCTCAATTAAAATTTAAATATTTCAAACTCAAAACCCAATAAATGTTTTTTTTCTCAGTGTACAGAAAGAGTCAACCGAAACGAAGTTGAAATGCTCTGATGAAAAACATAATGCATAGTCTTATGAAAGAACTTTATGGAATGTGATGCTAAAGGGGCTAGAAAAATGGAGAAATGAATGAAAACAAACACATCAATTTTCTGAATGTCTGGTCTTCGGGAAAAACACATAGATCAAACTCAAAGAAAACTCATGGATGCGTTGTGATTTCTTGCTTATTTCTGATTTACTTGCCACTCAAATATCTTCTACCGATATTGCAGTGCCCCCAAACCATCATCATTCGACGGAGAAGAGGGAGAGGGGCAGGGAGGTCCTGCCCACAAATTCAATTTCCTTCGCAGCCAGTCCATCGAACATGTCCTGGGCCTTCCACTAACTGAACTAACTGAAAACTGAAAACCGAGAACCAAAATGCGGCGAGGTGGCGAAGTGCCGATGTCGTTCTGGTGTTTGAACCGCATATAGACACATATATATAGGATATTTGCCAGCTCTCGAGCATATATAATATTTATGCCACTGTAAGTGCTTATTGATGTCAGAGATCTGAAATTGGAATCTGCCTGGGCTTTTGTTCTTATTCCATGCGGATGCACATTGCAGTTAAGGTCTCGATTCGGATTCGTATTCGGTTCTCCTTGTTTTGTGGACTCTCAATTAAGCAAGTTGGCATTTTGACATGAGCTGAGCAGCTCAAACTGAAACCGAAACTTGTAGGTAGCGCCGAAATAAAAAATTGGAAATTCATATAAGCGTGTACGGAATACACACGAAATATTTATAAAGTCAGACACACCAGCCAGCCTCTCGGGCCCCCAGAGATTCGTTTTCGCCCATGCAACATGGAGAACGAACCGGGGCCGCTGAGGCCACAGTAAAATTTAATTTTAATGCATAAGCAAATTGAATTTAAGCAACAGGAAAATTGTTCGTCTGGCCACAAAGGTGCCGTTCGTTGCTGTTGCCGCATGTGGAAGCAAAAACCACTTGCCTGGGAGCTGAGGAGCCGAGGAGGTGGACTAAAACCACGCAGAGTGCTTCATGCTCAAAGTTTCCACCTGAAGCTCAAAATTCCTTAAACCAAGCCACAATTACGGAAATGCGGTGCTTTCATCAGGAATTTTTAAGAGTAGGACATGCTCGAAAAACTCATGGTCTCCAAATTAGGCTAAGGATTAACTAGCATGCCGCAAAATTAATTGGAAGAATTAGGAGTGCGCTACAAAGGGTTTTAAAAAGATATGCGTACCAGAAGTTTACCATGCGCATATTGATTTGACAGCGACGTATGTGTTTTTGTGCAACGAATACAAATACTAAATAAAATTAAAATTAATGTTATTTTTGCAGTGACCCCATTAACTATGTATTTTATTTTTAGCAGAATCATAAACCAACGAACTATTTCTGGCTGATCATCCAAACAAACTCCTCGTAGTTGATCATGCCATCGCCATCGAAGTCGGCCTCACGGATCATCTCGTCGATCTCCTCGTCGGTGATCTTTTCGCCCAGATTGATCATCACAAAGCGCAGTTCGGCCGGCGATATAAAGCCATCGCCGTCGCGATCAAAGATCTTGAAAGCCTCGCGCATCTCCTCCTCGGTGTCGGTTTCCCTCATTTGCTTGGCCATAATGGCACAGAACTCATTGAAGTCCAATAGTCCTTCGCTGTTGTTATCGGCATCGGCTATGAGGTCCTGTAGCTCAGTCTCCGTGGGATTCTGGCCCAGAGTGCGCATCAGGGTGCCCAACTCACGGGTGTTTATCTTCCCAGTACCATCCTTGTCGAACTGCACAAAGGCATCCTTGAACTCGGCTATCTGCTCCTCAGTTAACTCGGACATTTTTAAATAATTTTCGGGGATGTGTTTTCAATATATATCGAGATGCTTTCAAGGCTACCGACTGTTTGAATTTAAGAGCCGAAAAGGTTTTGAAACTGAAAGGTCTAGGGCCCAACCCCCAAGGCCTGCTTATCTTTCTTATGTGGTGGACATCATGTTGACAAATCGCACATAGACGATGTTTCCCTCATTATCGGAGTCTGCATCGCGAATGATTTCCTCCACCTCCTCCTCTGTCATGTGCTCCCCCATATTCTGCATTATGTGACGGAACTCCGTTTCGGATATAACACCGGTTCCCTGCTTGTCGAACACCCTGAAAGCCGCTATAATCTCATCCTCGGTCGTCATGTTCTCGTACCTCTGAGACATGATGTACAGGAAGTCGCTGAGATATAATTCCCCCGAACCATCGGCATCGATTTCCGTGCATATATCCTGCAGTTCGGCATCACTCGGATTTTGGGCCACAGTTCGCATAAGCTGCCTCAGCTGCTTTATGGGTATGACCTTGAGGTCCTGATCGTCGAACAGCGAGAAGGCCATCTCCAGATCCTTGAGCTGTTCCTCGTTCAGATTGTTGGAGCGAATGATACGTTCCTCGGGAGGAGGCGTAAGGAAATCGTAATCCATGGCCGAAAAAGGGGTTGGGGCTGCGAAATTTTGGGGGTCACTGTACGTTCACTACAAATTTTGGAATAATTTTATGTCAGAATTTCATTTTGAAGTTTAAAGCAAAAGTTAATGAAAAGTCAGGGGCTTCAGTTTAAATTTTTTCATCATCATTTATTTCTTAAAAAAAATTCTTTTATAAATTTAAAGAAATATTAAATTCAATATATTCTTCAATCCTGTAAAATAATGGGATATCCTGGATTATTCAAACCATCAAATTGATACAACCATGGGATAGATTTTGCATAATAATCCATACGTACGATCTGTAAATGGATTGCAGTTCTATATAATAAATATTTTCTGTACATATGATACATACTAACAGTTCCATAAAGCTTTAGGTCTCCATCATCATGGTCACAAAGCGAACGTAGTCAATTTTCAATTCCGTATTGGCGTCTGCATCGCGAATCATCTCCTCGATCTCGTCCTCCTCCATGTCTTCGCCCAAATCGGTCATTATTTGGCGAAACTCCGACTCGTGTATGAAACCAGATCCATCCTTGTCAAAGACCCTGAAGGCCAGAATGACCTCATCTTCGGGCGTCGAATTCTCGTAGCGCTTCGACATGATCCAGAGGAAATCGCTGAGATAAAGCTCGCCCGATCCATCCGTATCGATTTCGGTGATATAGTCCTGCAGCTCGTGTTCCGGCGGCGTGTGGGCCACGGCTCGCAGGCAATCCCTCAGTAACTTGATGGGAATGACCTTGGTATTCTCGTCGTCGAAAAGGGCAAAGGCCGCCTCACAATCCTTCAGCTGCTCATCGTCCAGGGTGTGCGTGTGAATGGTTCGCACTTCCGGTGGCGGAGAACTAAAATCGAAGTCGTCCATTACCCACAGAAAATATTTCGCGTACTAGAAATTTGGAAATCCAGTAAAATGGCACAGAAAATTTATTTTTTCTGAAATTTAGATTTTTTTAAAATTTGGTCTTTGAATTAAAACTTTGTCATTCAGACTGACTTTATTTCTCGAACTTAATGCGATGACAGCTAGAAAAAGGTACTACAAAAGGTTTATGAATTTTGTCTTATATGATTTTCTGAAATAAATTTCTTGGATTTTATTTTAGTATTTTCCAGATTTTTGAAAATTTTGCACCTTTAATAACCAGTAAAATGAATCCGATTAGTTTAAGCTTAAAATTTATTCATCTTATTATTACGTTATCCAATAAAAACGTACCTATAGATTAAAGTACATTCTCAAGTTTATGTCAGTAACATTCCAGTCAAGATGTTTTTTTAGCCAAAGGTCCTTCTAATCATATCCCTGAACTCGGTGAAACTTATCAAGCCATCACCATTGGAATGCCTTTCTCTGAGCATGTGCATAATGATCTTCTTGTCCGCCTGAAAGTCAGTGATCTGTATTAACTGAATCAGTTCACTTTCGGTGATAAGACCATCGCAATCCCTGTCGAACATTTTAAATAACTGACACATCTCACGCTCTTCTTGATTTTCAAAACGCGCCATTACAAAGCAGTAATCTTTAAAGTCTATCTCGCCATTGCCATCCACATCGGAGGTCTTAAGGATGTCCTCAAGTTCCCTTTCCGTGGGATTCTCACCCAGAGATCGGATCATGGCTCCCAGTTCCTTAATGGTTATCACTCCACGCTCATTTCTATTGAGCTGGCTGTAGCTATGCTTATAATTCGATAACCTTGGTCCACTTATTTCATCCATGGAGATTAAGGGAGCTTTTTCTGAATCCGCTACATGATCCATTTAAAAATTTAGTTTTTTTTTGTATTTTAATTGGATTAAAATTAATATTTTTAGAGCCAAAAATAAATATATGATTTAGAAATAAAAATCAAAGTAAGGTTGTTTTAGAAATCATACTTTAAAATTTTTAAAAAGCATTTTTAATTATTAAAAAAATTCTCCAGTGTAAGTTAATTGTGAAACTGACATGGCTGTTAAATTCCTTTTCCCAGTGCCCCAATTTGTGACATTGGAAAAAATTGCATGTGACCACATGACGGTAATATAGTAACACCCCAACACCAGTGAAATACAACAGGATTTAACAATTAAATTTGCAACAATTTCCCGAATAATGTTTTTATAGCCTTTGGCTACGGTGCTTCGGGCGTTGCGGCTGTTGAAAAGCATGGGTAATTACATTTTTAATTAAATGCGACGCAGTTTGTTTCGTTTTTATATTATTTTTATTTGTATTTTTGTAGCTGCATTTTGTTCAACTGTTGAGTATTTTTTCTGGGCAGCCATTTCATGCCATCCTCGCTCCTTCGGGGCATAAAATGTTTTTTTGTTCGTTGCTGTTTGTTTTTTTATTGAGCGTTACGGGCAAATAGGAAAATTATCCAATGCAAAATTTCGGAGCAATTTGCATAATTTGGGAGCAGAGAAAGCGAGAACCGAATTGCACAGACCCATATCCCTGGCCATCCTTTCTCACACGTGCGAAAGGCTCCCAGTGGAGCCAACAATGGCAGCTTCTTGCTAATGAGAAGCAAATCCTGGCCACGAAGGACACGAAGGATTTAGGATTGGGGCCAAAGTTGAGCCACACAACAAGGCATTGTCAAGCATTTCTCTGCATAGATTACAAAGGACTTTTCGGACCAGAAATGCAGGAATATAGCGCATAGCTGTGCTGAAAACAATGGCTCTAAATGTAGTAAAAGTTTTAAAAATTTTTATGTAGAACAATATAATTAAAGTTACAAATTAACTATCTAATAAAAAGTTTTTTAAGTAGAATTATGCAGCGAAAATAATAATAACTAGCTGAGAATTTAATTTTTAAAATTTAAAAGATTGCAAGAAAATATTAGAATAAGTTGATATTAAAATATATCAAAAATTATTGATTAATTTTAAACATATGTATTTTAACGACTCCAACTGTTCAAACATGCTTATACGATTGTCTGGTAAATGCAGCTCGGAATATGTTTGTTGTTTGACTTTAATCAGGCGTAAACAGGACGAGAGGGCAACAGCCGAGCCGCAATCGAAATGGCAACAGACCTTTGGGGGATTTGGATAATTTGCATTTCTGTAGTGAAGTGGGACACATAATCAAAGGGTTTCCATGTGCAAATCTCTTAATGTCTGAGTTGGAGCAACGACTTTATATGAGCTGCTCATTGTAATAGTAGTATTCTGTATGGAAATGATGATGAAGTTCTCTAGCCTTAGTTATTTAGTATATGATGTTACTTCCCCTTTATACAGAACTGTGAACTACTACTGGTTTAAAGAAGAAAAAGTAATAAATTCATAGAATATGGGCTAGTAATACAGAGGTCATTGATGAGTTGGCCCAACCATTGGGTGATTTTTGTGTTGATGAATACGTAGTTCTTTTTCCCACCCGCCATTTCAATTAGGCATATGGGGATGGGTTCGGCCAATGGGCACGGGCACACAATGAGTGCCTCTGAAATCCAATTGAGTGGCCTGCATTGGCAGATGGGCATCATCTAGCAGCTGGAATTCGCAGTGGAAACTGCGGAGTCCCAGTCGCCAGTTGCAAAGTAATGCCATTCAATCACCGCGGGTTGCAATTCAACTCGCAGATTTGTCTATGCCAAAGCGTTTTCAATATGCGCATTGCGCAGCCCACGTAGCACCCATTCGTCCGTTCTGTCCGTAAGTTTGTCCGTTCTGTCCGTATCTGTCTCCCGGGTCACAAGTGCAGCTACGGAAATGAATTATGGCCACCGGTTGCAATCAGTTGTGGCCCACAATGAGCAGCGGAGAGAAATGAATGCCGCAGGAGTTCTCTTTTGTTTTCCCGTTTTGCAATCTTGTGCGTTGCAGCTGCCGGTTTTCATCAATGGCCGTCACCGTGGAAAGTGAAGTCCAAGTCCGGGAGGTTCTTGTTTATGGATATCAGCCTGTCTGTCTCACCTTTGGCATCGCACGGTCTATATATACACCTGAGCACTCGGCGACTGGGCAAACAAAGTACTTAAGCCAGACTGCAAAGAAAGAAGTGTAGAACAAACCTGGCTCCTTGGGATAGCCATCCCATCCCTAGGGATTCTATCGCCTCTCCTGTTTGTTTCTATTTCACTTTGATGGCACGTGCGTGGAGTGGTTTTGAGCCCAGGTGAGTGGAGTGAGGTTGATTCGACTGGAGTGGAAAGGCAAATATGCAAGTCAATAGCAGAATGTTGCCCCGAGGCGAAGTGATGGGCGGGTGTTCACTGTACAGCCAGTAAAAGCCACAGGAAAAGGCGTCTTTAAATCGAGAGCAAAAGGAATATTTATTGTCTATGACTCACATTCCTGCAAGTCATTGGCATCTCATGGAAATTGATAAAACAAAGAAATGTAAAATAAAAATGTTAAACAAAACGGAAATATTTTATTTAAATTTTTACAAATTAAACTAACTATGGAGTTTAATACTACAGTTTTTAAATATTAATTAAATTTATTTGAATTTCAAAAGAAGGAAAATTTATGTAAAAACTTAAATTGTTTAAAAAGATTAGTTACTTGATGAGGTTGAGTTTTTCCTTAGCTAGGTTTTCAAACAATTCCAGAGATGTTAAAGTTAACATATTAATATATTTGCAGTTAAGCCTCATGATTTTATAAATTATAAAATGTTTTGAAGGGCTTAGTTTAGCAATGCTAAAGCAATTAACTTATATTAAATTTGAAGAGTGAAGGGCTTTCAGGGCCTTAAGCCTTACGTAGGGGGCTGTAAGAAATTATTGTGGATACTCCGTAAATATTCTCACTTTCCTGCTTTGCTGCTTTCACTCTTATTATGCTGAAAGCATCTGCAGAGCGGCAACTAATCCAAAAACTTAAAATCCAATCTGGAATATAACTTTGTTTGACTTTTGTTTGCCGCCCTGTTGTATTTTCCCCCATTTTCCAAGATTCTCTTTGTTTGTTTTTGTGGCGCAAATTGCATTCTGTGGGTGTCAACAAACGCAGCTCTCTGGACCGCCTTCTCTTGGCATGAAACATGATTAAATTACTCATACGCCTCGTGTGTGCGCTTGGACAACAACTTCTATGGCGATTTTGCTCTTGCGCTTGCTCTCATTTAGTTAATTAAGTTTTACAACAGCTTGCCACATGCCGTTCTTCCATCCGCCCCTTTAATTAGTTTTTAATTATTTCAGAGTTGAGCGTTTTCCAAAAATTTTCCGGTGGGCTTTCGGACAAACAACAACAAGGATCCGAAAAACGGATGGGTCTCGGCCTGTGTTGGACTTTGGCTCAGAGTTTGCTTTGAGTTTGAGTTTTAGTTAATTTTATTTGTATTCTGCAAGTATTTGCACGCCCCCTACAAACCTAGAAACCTACAAAAAGGCAACTCGGAACTGGGGCTTTGTTCATTTAGCACATTATTTCTACACGCTTTGTTTTTACTGCAGTTGGTTTGTTTGTTGGCTCGTTTGTTCTGGGGGTTCTACCCAAAGTTTTGTGCAAGCCCATTAGCCTAATAGCCCAAACAGAAGTCGCCGTCAACCTCGGTTTATTTATCTTATAGTATAATTAACTTTTGTTGCAAATGAATATGGCCAGGAACTAAAAATGTTACCCTAGGTTAAAGAAAATGATGAACATTCACCACAGATTATTTACCAAATTATGAAAATTCTCTTTGAGTTTACACAATGAATATTAAGCAATAAAAATGCTCCATTATTTTAAATCAATTCCACTTGCATATTATTCACTCAGTAAACAAGCTGCCATGCTTTCAATGTGCTTTTACTCCGCAGTTATATTGAATAAAAAACACAGTATAAAATTTAATTTTCCGACCAGCATCACACGTTACCTTAAATCAAGTAATCTGCATGGAAATTGATGATATTACTCAGCATTCATATGCCTTGTGCCTTTTTATAGTTTGGTCATCAGCATAACACTGATTGAAATGGGCCAGCAAACATTTCACTTTATCAACTTGTGCATATTTAAGCAGGTTTGCCTGTATCTGTGAAAATTGGCTCAAAGGAAAACTGGGAGGAAAAGGGAGCCAGTTCGGCCTAGAACAAATATTTACACGGCTCGGTGTATGGCATTTGCCATAAACTACCGTAAAACAATAAAATTCGCAATAAACCAAATGGAAAGCAGCAATGGCAACGGCAACTGCCGGCTCATGTGAAATGCATGCAAAGCAACAACGCCAACAAAAGCCACAATACAGCGCCATTCAACAAACAAAGCCAAACGAAACGTTTTTCATAACTTAAATTGCAAAATGCAACGGGGGGTTAAGAGCGGTGAAAAAAACAGAAAAAACAAAGAGTGCGACTGCCTGAAACGTCAACAGAATAGTTCGGAACAAAGCCGAAAAAACAATGGCTAAAGACGAAAAGGAAAACTTGACTCTGATATATCCTGCGAAAAAACACAAAGCATTTTCATTTTTGGATCTGTTAACAGAATTGCCTTATCGCTTTTATTTATTGAAATTTATCCAAATACTCATAACCTGCCACAGAAATTTGAAAATCTTTACTATGGTTTGGAAAAAGGGTTCCTGAACTTCCGTTTGCGACTCGCTTGGTTTCTCCTTTGGAATGGTTGAGGCCTTTATGTAGGGATCATCTTCGATAGAGTACACGGGATCGTCATCATCTTTGGTATTCGATAGGGAGGGTCGACTGCAGGATCCTTCACTCAAGTCCTCATCATCCTTCCAGAGATCTGCACCACAGTCAGCTATAAAATGGATTTCCCATAATTTATTGGATTAATTATTTTATAAATAATATTTTTCAATAATATCATAGTATCATCATTTAATACCATATCATAATATCAAAATATCATATCATAATATCATGTCCTAATATCATATCAAACCATCAAATCAGTTTTAATACTTTTCTTAAATTAAAGGCTAAATTTTCCTTATAAAGGGCATACTTACCACCTGCCTGATGCTGACCTAAAAATGCAAAACCAAAGACAACTAGAAATAGAAACAATGTTAACGACATGACTAATTTAAATAAACTGTGTGCTTTTCCCATTTTTCACTTCTACTTATAGTTTCTTAACATATGATTAGTCTCGCTTTTCGGTTGAAAAATGGAACCAATTGCGATGCCCCGGTTTCTGTAGTTAGAGTAATAAAAACTTTTTAGCCAACTTTCTGCAAACTGCATAATCTTGTTAGCCTTCCGCCTGGCAACACTCTATTTTTAGCTGCTCATCTTGATGCTGATTTATCTGTAATCCAACTTACGTTTCAGCCACTTAAGGCCACAATCTGCCTTTTGCCACTTGCCAACTTCCCTGACCCCCGATCCCCTTCGGGTTACAGGTGGCTTTTGTAACAAACTTAGTTCAATAAAGTTCGCCCTGTTCGTCTGCGCTTTGATCATCGCCTCACATGCGTCTAAAGTGGCTTTCCCTTTCCGTTTCTCCTTTCTCCTGCTTTTGCAACACTTTTAAAGCCTTTTCTCGGGGCAACCGGGGCAACATATTCAGACTTAGCGGCTTTCCCTGGCAATCTCTTTGAAGTGGGCTTTGGCTTTGGCATTGGATTGGAACGCCCCCGTCGAGAGAGACAAGCAACTGTATCAGCTGTTTATATTTAGGTCCATTAATTCATTGCCTGTCAAGCTGCTGGTCAGTTCGGTTGATAAACGGCCTAAGCCGTTGGCCAGGATTTTCTCTCATTCATTTCATGGCTGCCCATTCGGCATTCAATAATTTGCCTTCGGTGAAAAATGCACAGGCAGAAATATAAGTGCAGTTAATCATCTAGGAAAAATTGGTACTTATGTATATATAGATGAAATGAGAGTTCAACAAAAATTACTACGTTTTTTAAAACACTTATAAAGGCGCCTAAAAGTATGCAGCAAGATATTTATAATTAATTACAACAATTTTAAAAGACGTCGTATTTTTTTTTGCATACTTTTAGTCACCTTTTGATTTGTTTCTGTTAAGTATTTTTTTAAATTAGTCAAACAAAAAAATGGTAAAATATAATTATTGATATTAAAAAATGATTTGCAATTATCTTAATTTTTTTTAAAGCAATACTTTTATTTGTATTTTTTTCTGTGCAACCTTCTCATCTGAAACTTGCTTGCCTCTGCAGAAATTAAAGCCATGAAGGTCCTTCTTTATAAGTAGGAAGTTGTTAGTTGCTGGCAACATGAGAAACAGCAAGTGCAACAGAAGCAGCAACATCCAACTTGTAGTGCACTCGTTGTTGCTGTTGTCGAGTGCACGACGCCGTGTGCAATTATCACCCGAAAAAATACTACAGGGCCAAGAGTGCTCCTGTTTGGTCACAGGTAGCAAAAATAAGAGGGGAGAAAAAAAAGGTAAAACTACTGGCTACAAATTCTGCCAACATTATGTGCTCAAAATGTAAATGTCATTTGTGTGCCGAGCATGGGGAAACAGCAACACCAACGGCAAGTGTTGCAGCATTTGAGAAATGTGTGTTGCCAGTGAAGTGGCGCCAGGACAAAACAAGGACATCCAGGACACGGTCCACCGTCCACTTGCCCACACTCCATGAATAAATGTTAAAACACAATCGAGAGCCGTAAATTCTGAGCAGTCATCAGCTCCTGAAATAGGTGTAAGAAAAGGCAAAAGGCGAGGAAAACCCAGGAATAAGGGCGGCCAGGCCAACACAAAGCAGAATAGGGGAAACGAGAAAATTCCATCCGGAGGGAACAATGGACCCGGGAAATCTGTCTGTCACGAGGCAGGAGCCTGAAACAATGCAAAAGAGAAAAGTCTAATTGGTATAATAAAATGTCATAAGACGAAAGAGCAATGCAGCAGCAGGTTCAGGCTCCAATAATTCGCCTGGGACAAAGGGAATAACTGTACCGACGATGATGCCCCCTGAAGGACCCGATTCCGATTGATTGCAGTTACTACACATACATATTGATTTGGCCCCGATTAGACAGCTCGGCACAACGGAGGTAATTTCACCCGACGAGACAAAGAGATTTCAATCAATTAAAGATAATTTCACAACAGCTACATTTTCTTCGAACATCTCACTTGACAGGGCACAAAATAAAAAGCGTTTATTGGGGAGGAAGGCATATAAGACTATCAGATACCCAGTAATATAATAATGTTGAAATATGTTTTAAAATATACCAAAAATTAAAAAAACCTGTTTTTTTAGGACGTTGTTTAATTAAAAAGTAAATAATATAAAGCTATGGCATACCCAGTAATACAAATTATTTTTCAGAAATATATTTTAGAATATTACAAAAATTTTAAAGATTTTTTTTTAGGAAAATATTTGGTTAAAAAGTTAATAATGTATGGGATACCCAGTAATAAATATTATTTTCAAAATTTTACAACTATTTTAGGGAACTGTTTTTTTTAGAAAACTATTTTGATTAAAGATATGTAATACTTTAATCATGTCTATCAAACTGAATTTACCCCTAAAATAAAAGGTACATGAACGAAAAAAACGTGAAAAGATTGCTCTAAACTGGCAGCAGCCACTAAAACCCTCTGCCACGCCCCCAACCGCCCATATATCAACTGTCGATGGCTATAAAGCTTCGCATTTTCGCATCTGCTGGTGCTTCAATCCACCATTCCACCGGCGCGAGTGTACAATCAACAAAATTAGTTTCATTTGGGCAAATGGCATGGCTAGCAGTCGCAGCATTTCGACCCACATAACAGACTTGGCTTAGAAAGGAATTTGGGGTGGTGAGAAATGGCAAAGTAGAGCCCCCACCCTCTATACTATATATATAAAGTATAGTATATATCCCTGCTTTTGATAGCTCGCCTCGCTTTTGATCTTCCCCGACTGCTGATAAATGATAAGATGCCGGAAAGCTGAAAGAAAAATGCTGCAAAGTGTAGAAAATTACGCCGCAGGTGTGTGGCCCATCATCAGTTTCATCGCAAGGCTACTGGCAAAGTAAATAATTAAAAATTTCTCAATCTTTAAAAGGAAAGTGTAATTCAAAAGAAAACCTCAATGGCCAGCAAAAGTAAGCCATTGCCAATTAGCGGGAAAATAAAGGAAAAAAAGAGGAAAAAGTGCGGTGAGAACTGTCTAACCTGTAGACCCCCTGGAAAATGAGGACCCTCTGTAAACCCAGAGAAAACGGTTCGCGTGAAAGGGGGAAAACTGTCTGTCAACCTACAGCCATAAATTATGGCCAGCTGCTGGCTGCTGCCGGCAATTTATAAATCTGTTTATTGTAACATCCTGTGACTCGCGCCCCCCGTAATTTATGCATCTGGAATCTAGTTAAGTCCGCTGAAAATCAGCTAATGAGCGTCCGATTGCAGCTCTCGGGTGCTGGGTTGAAAAATATTTGCATAAAAAACCCAATTACTACATATATTATAAGTATATATCTTTTGAATTTTGCTGTCTTGTTTTTCACTCTCGTGTTTACACAAAGTTTTCCGTTGGCTACGTTTTGGTCAACTGACTGTCAATATTTTATTGGCTGCATTTCGCTTTTTATATTGCATTCGGGAGAGACACATACGTATTTATATCTTTTGGGGCACAGGGGGTTGATATATAAATATACAAACCCACAGAAACGAATATTCCCAGGAACCGAGCAAATGCGCAATTTAATTTATGTCATGGAAAAAACGCTCGAAAAAATGTGGGTAAGCAAGGAAAGGCAAAAAACACTCGCAATATACGATGCTCAATGACGCGTTGAAGGACAAACCGATGATCATGCTGGTTTTGCGGTGGGGAATTTCTTGAGTTTCTTAATTACCAACAGCATAGTTTTTTAAAGGATTTTTAAATACTGAACTTTTAATTTAAATACGTAAGAAACTTGAACCAATACTTAAAAATGCTAGACCAAATTAAAAGAGCTTTTCCACACATTTCCTCTTAACCATTTTCCCCCAAGTTTGCATATCCTTCCTTCTTTCTGTTTACGCTTGCTCTCTAATTGTATATTTTTTCCGTATTTAAATGAAATACGTCTTCTCCTTCTCACACCCATTTAACCCAATTTATTTTTTTCGGTCCGCTTTCCCTCCACGAATTTTCCGGGCTTTCTTTCGGTTTTGCATTATCTTCTACTCGTTCTGGTTCTCCTCTTTTGTCGAGTGCATTGCCACTTCGATGCCCCTCGTTTCCTGTGTCCTTAGTCCTTCGTCCTTGGTTTCCATCAACACTCTCATCATTTCTTTTGTTTTGTTTTGAGTTTTTTTTTATGTATTTTTAGTCATGTCATTCAGTAGGGTTCTTCTTTATCACCCTCCCCACATTTTTATGTCCTCTCATTGTCCTTTTTGGATGGTGGAAAAATAGGAGAAAGGAACTGGAGCACTTTTATATGATGGTTTGGTACCCCGGCTGCAGCTTCTGTTTTACATTGGCATACATATTTGCATTTTTTCGAATGCTTTACAACCCTTTAACCCCCTTTTCTCATTTTTTCCAGATCCCTCTGCTTGTTTTAATTTCTTTCGCCAGAGTTTTATTCCTGTTTGCCCCCCCTTTTTTTGTTTTTTATTTGTTTGGTGGGCGGGGTTTCGATGACAGGACTGCAAAAACTCCTTTTCAGCCGCTACGCCCACCGAAGTTGCATTTCAATTGAATTGTCAGCGTTTCGCAGTGAAAAATGTGTCAAAAATTGTTGGCTCGTTAGGGCTGCAATTTGTGTAAATTGTATTTTTTTTGGCAATGAAAATTGAAATTTGCTGATTAAGTAATCGAACGATAAGTACTTACAAGTTGTCAGACAATCTCTTGTTTAATATCAATTTTACCTGTGTTTAATGTATATATGTATGAATTACCAGAAATTTACCATGGATATATCAATTTTTTATTGGTGTGTAGCAGTGCTGCCATTTTGTCCTTTTTCCGGACAGATCTGTCCTTTTTTTAACGGCTTTATCCGGAAAAAATTTCAAACATCCCCTATCCGGAAATCTGTCCTTTTTTCAAAAATAAGGTTTTGAGTGTTATTTTTGCTAGTCGAAAGTGTATAAACCTGTTTTTAT